GGTTTTAGGTAAATGTTAGTGCTTTATTTTTGTTTCATGGATAAATCTTTTTTTTATTGCATATGTCTTGTTTTCTTTTTTCTTTTTTTTTTTTTCCCAAAAGGGATGTTAGCTTTTGCTTGTCAAGCTGAAAGTAGGACTGCAGGAGGGAGAGATATTGATAATGAAGTGATTTGGCGTTTAATTTGGTGTTTCTTCTCCGTGAAGTGCACTTTGCTTTGTGTTTGGTTTTCTGCTGTAATGAATTCTGTCAAATTCATGTTAATTTTGTAGCTCTAATGTGCATCAGACTGGCTCCCTGCTTTGGCTGCTGAGCACAATAGCTGATATGGTAAACTTGACATTCTTCCAGAGGGGATTTGTTGCTAGGTAGGAATAGTTACAGTGGTTCCACTGAAAACACTTCTGAATGATTGTCTCTCCTGCTTAGAAACTACTTATCTAATATTTGTCTTTTTGGTATATTTTATGGGGGGAGGGAAGAAGAGTATGGAAGTCAGGCAAATTAACTTTTGGCTCTTAAACTAGGTCATCCTTAATGTACCCTGGGAATAAAACTACATGCCATAATGTTTGAGATGCCATTGGGTTGGTTCATGAAGACTTTTCTTAGTCAAACTGGTCACCTAATTTTAAAATTTGGTCCTTGGGTTCTGTGGTGTGAATTAAAATAAGAAGTGCTGGAGGTTTTTTGTTTGATTAAACTTAGTTTCAGAGTTTGGATTTTATTTCTTCTGAGTTTTGTTGACTTCAAACAATAATCTCCATTTGGAGCTGCAAAAATTCTAAAAGGAATTATTCTATGGCAGTAATTAGCTGTAACACTGTGGGACCAGTGCCCCTTTGTTTCTTATAGAACAGAATTTGCTGTGTGACTGTTCAATCAGATCTTGCTTTTTGTCTGATACCAGCCCATGTGTTTAGTTTTACTTCATATTTCAAGCAGTTTTAGCTCTGTGGGACACCTTTCATTGAGGTTTCTTTAATTTTATTGTTTCTGTAACCTTTTACTTTTTGTCCCTAGAAATAAATTTTTCAAAATTAAGGTTTCAAAGTCATTTTTATGTAGCTTGAAAATAAGTTTATGAATATTGGGCAGTAAAAAAATATTGTCTTTCCCCTTTTGTTGCCAAACTACCTCTGTAATAATATGTACATATTCTTTATAGTTTCAGTGTTGGCAAAGCTTCCAGCTAGATGATGAAATATGTTTCAGATCTATTTTATTAACTGCTCTGGCTGTGGGAAATGCACATCAAAATCATCTGTTCCATTTCTGGTTTACATTGTTGTGTCCCTATCATAGTAAAACATGAGCTTTGAAAGGCACAGCAGTGGAAAATTCCTGTTCAGAAACTCAATCACAGTTTTAAGTATGACTGTGTACACGTTGGCAGGCTTCTGTTTGGGGCAAGTGCACCTTACTGTGAACTAACAGAGCAAATCATATAAAACAGTGCTAAGCTATAAAAAGTGATGTGAAAACTCTGTAGCAGAATCCTGATATTGTAATGATTTACAGCTGGAAGAGCAGAACTGTATTTGGAAGAAAAGATGAATTTCAACTTGATATGAGGGGATGTTTAAAATTTGTTTCTATTTGTTATTTCCCTTTCCCTCTCTGTGTCAGTCCAACACTGTTTGTAGGTTTGCTGGTTACGTGTGGACCAGAAAACCCACCTGGGAGACAGAGGTGGGTTTGACAGTGCAGAGGAAGAGGATTTTCAGTAATGAAATACTTGGATACAGAGAGAAAGTCAGCTCTTCAAAGAGCTTTAGCTAACTGCTCTGTGTGCTGTAAGGAGTACAAAAATGAGGGAACAAATTGAGCCTTCTGTGCATAGGGAGCTGGAGAGGATGAGGTGTGTAAAAAAAGGACTTGAGAGCCAGGAAAGGGGATAAATGAAGACAGCAAGGGAGCGGGAAGACCAAGTATTTGAAATGAGAAGGGAGGGAGGCAGGAGAAAACATCATAAATGTTTGGAAATAATGTCCAGGGAATGGCAGAAATTGAGAAAGCAATTGCGAAACAACTGAGTGTTGAGCTGTTGATATGGAAAATACTTCTGTCATTTGGAGCAGGCAGAAATACAGAGAGGGGCTGTGTCACCTGGGGGCCTCTTCCCAAAGCACTGGAACTGCAGGATTGTTCCAGGTTCTGAGGGGCTTTAACAAGGGGCAGAGAGGACCAGCCTTGCTGAGTGGGTTCTTCAGGGTCACCGTGCTGAGCAAAGAGAAGGAGCTCTCCAACTGGAATTCATCTCTCCTTGGCCCTGTGACATCATCCTCCCTCACTGCCCCCACCCCTCTATTCTGAAATACTTACTATTTTCATGTGTATCCATTCAGTGGAAATTTCCAGTACGCTGCCTAGACTGGTGAACGGGTGCCCAGTTCATATGATTTTGTCATTTTCTATTTATTGTATTTAAATAGAGGACACAAGCATTTGCGTAGGTAGTTTGATTGATTTTGTTATTATTGTTTTCAACCGATATTTGTTATTTCAAGTGTGCCAAAAGTCAATGCTCCTTGTCATGGCAGTGTTTATTTGCACTTATTTAAGTAGCTGAAATTTTTTGACCATCTTGGAAATTATTTTGGTCAAACCTGTGAACAGTTTGACTCATTTAAACTGAACCATGGCATGGTTTGTGTTGGAAGGGACCTTTGAAAGAGCATCTAGTCCAGTTCCCCTTTGAACCCCTGGGTTTAAAGGTAAAAGTTTTTTTTAGCCTGGTCCTTGCCTAAGGTACCTGAACATGGACAGGCTGGTAGTAGTTTAGGGAGGAAATGCTGTGTTCCTCCTTCCCTGGTAAAAGCCAAGCTTGTTCACTGTGCAGTAAGGACAAAAGTTGCAGTTATTCCTAATCTGAGTCCATTTCCAGTCCACGAAATAGTCTTAAATTGCACTCATTGCTGCTGTGCTGACTCGAGTCTTCTTTAAGGGTATTCTGTGAGTGGCTTTTGTAAACTTCAAACATGTAATCTGGCAATCCTGTAGCTGTTACTTTTAATATTTGGTTTTATTTTTTTATATTTTAAAGGCAGTAGATGCTCCTCTTTAAGATTTAGTGCTTTTCCTTATCCTTAAATATTTGTCTGGCAGTTGTTAAGGTATTTATTCAACTAGCTGGATTAGAAATGAGATTTGTTGTCTGCAAACAGACTATTTGGCCCCGGGAATCACAGGCACTTGATTTTAATAAGCTAATGTATGTATGCATCTGTTGCTTTCTGCAGTTAATTGTCTCAGTGCAAAATGTGGCCTGTTCAGGTTTTCTCGTAGCTAAAACTACCTTAGGTAAAAGATTAGGATCCTTATTTTGCTTTCCCCCTCTCCCCCCCAGCCAAATTTTAGCATCAGAGTTTGTAGGTTTTGCTGTTGGGGTGTGGTTTCCCTGTCTTCTGAAACCCTCATGTGTTGAGTTACATCAGCTGAATTGAGTTATATCAGCTCTCCAGTACTTCAGCCAGCTCTGTGTGTGCCTGTGACCCTAAGTGAGCAGCAGCAATGTTGTGGGCTGCTCTAGAGAAAATCATTACAGAGAGCTGAGAGTTGTTGCCTGGAACCTTTTCTGGCTTGGAAACTTGACCAACATAACTACTGTAGTTTGCCATTTATACCCTTTAGACAATTTATTCTCTCGCAGTGCCTTCTATTTGCAGAGTCCAGCAACTGTTATAACACATACCTGGGGTTGGGATTTATACCCCAAAGCCAGGTTTGCTGCAAGCCCCTTCAAGCCAGAGTTACCAACCTCTGGCAGACATTGCCAGGGCTCTGTGTTACAGTTGTTGGTGAGTGGTTTGCAGTGTCTCTCAACAATGTGAGTCTTAAACGTGGAAGGAACTAAAAAATGAATCAGGTAGATAAATGCTGGAATGGCAGCTGAGCTCCTCAGTTTAAGTGGCCAAAGTCAAATTTGTAGTTGAATATTCTCACCAAGCACAGTTGTTTGCATAGTCTGAAACAGTTCAATCAAGAGTTTGAAGTCGCTGCACTTTGTGGGTGTTGGCCTTGTCAACAGCACTAGCAAAGCTATGGAAAATGCTTGGGTTCTGGTTTTGGCTGGCAAAGAGTAACCAAATAAAAACATCTGAAGTGTAGTGTAGGAATGAAGAGTCTGTGTTGTATTACTGGCTACGTGCTCTTAAAATCTACATGTTTTTCACGTTGGTTTGCTTGGTCTGCACAACTCTTTATTGTGAAACAAATTCACCTCTAAAATTGGAGTTGGGAGTCAAGATAAAATAGAGGACCTGACCCAGAAGAATTAGTGAAGTTTTGCTTTGAAATTTTTTCTCTTTTCAATCTTTATTTTTCTTTCACTCCCTCTTGCTGTAGAAGACTAAGGAGGTAAAAATAGGAGCAACTTTTCCTCCTCATTTTCACCTTTAAAACTTCTAATTAAAATACCAGAAAATGCTAATAGGAAAAAGAAAAAAAAATAAAATGTTGGCATTTGTATTTGTGTGCCTTTTTGTTTGGGTTTGGTTTTTTTTTTGGGGGTAAGTCAGACGGTTTAAGGCTGGCAAAGCAGCAAAGTAAGGGCAGGGATTAGTGAGGAAAATGATGAATACTCAGCTCCTTGAATCTTGAATACTTTGTATTCCCAGTGGTTTGTACAACCATCATCATAACTGTGCTGTGTCTTTTGCTGATGTCCTTCAATGTCAGTTTTTAAGGGAAAATGATGACAAACAGCTGGGCCTGTTGTGGCCCTTTCTCTTCAATTCATGTTCTTAGAGCTTCATCAGAGACCGACAGAAAAAGCAGCTTCAAGAAGAGCGTAAAAGACAGCATTGTTTTACATCCAGGTCTGTTCTGAACTCTGAGCCAAGCATTGACTTTGCCAAAGAGCTCTTCTGGCATATGTAAATCAGGGAAAAAATCACAACAAAGTTGTATACTGTTGAGAGACATCCTCTCATGGAAACCATGGACAGGGTCCTTAAACCCTCCTAAACACGTATGGGGTATGTTTTATATCTTTCAGTGCATTTAATACCAGTAAACCCCGTCAGGGAAGATGGGCTGAATCCCAAGAGCCGGAAGAGAATAATGCCTGATCTGCTGACAGAGCCTCCTGCCATAGACCCTGTTTATGAAGCTCATGTTTACTGCAATATTCCCACCATTGCTGAACGCAGCATGGAAGGTAAGCTCTGGGAGGGCAAACCACAGCTTAGTTGCTGGTTTCTGTGTGCTGGCACTGGATAACTTTGTGCATGGTCAGTTCTTTGGTGCTTGGAGAAGGTACAGCAAACACAAACTGGTTGCTGAATTTCCTAAAGTCATTCAAAATACGCTGTTCTTCTTTTGTTTCCTTTGTGTCTTCTCTGCTCTCTTGGTTGGGAGAGTTGGAGATATTTAATACCTGAATTGTAATTCTTAGTACAACTGAGATGCATTGCAAAGAGTCGACTTGGAATTTTGAAAACAAAAAAAAAAACCTGCAGAAGTAATTAATTTTGGATTCCAAACCATTAGACGTGGTCAGCTAGAAGGCATATTTGCATTCCTTACCCTACAGTAGCTGCAGCAGCAAGGGAGCCTGAATGAATTCCCTCATTAGCATACCCCACTAATGCATATAAAATAAATTACAAACTAGTATATCAAAAGGCTCCAGATTAGACACGCTGCAAAATCCGTCACGATGATGGGGTCTGCAAGAGAGGCATTATAAAGTGGAATCACCTAATTGCATTGGCAGAGTTTGCTGCTTGAGTTATGTGTTTGTGTGGTTGTTGGACTTAAGATGTCCTATGGAGATGTGCTGAGAAACTCAGTCTTGTGTAACTTATCTTGAAATCTGAAGTGAAATCTTTCTTGGGATGCTAAGTTATAATTTCTTAGGGGTGTTTTCTTTCATTGCAATACCAAAGCTATCATTACACCTAATTATACCTGCTTTTTTTATTAAAGGAAGTGCGTGCAGGTAACACGTTTTCTCTATTTTTTTTCTGCCCCTTTCTTCACTTTAGGTCATGCACCTCATTATTTTAAGCTGGTGTCAGTTCAGGTGTTGATTCGACATGGTGATAGGTATCCGCTCTATGCCATTCCCAAGACAAAGAGACCTGACATTGACTGTATGTTGGTGCCCAGCAGGTAAAATTCTTGGGGTTTGTCATTCCTAAGTGCTTGTTTTGCTTCAGAATTATTTTATTCTTCTTCAGGAAACAATTGGTGCAGCCTGAAGTACATTGTGACTTCAGATCTTTGTGTATTGTCATGGCTTTAAAAAACAACCCCTGTATCAGTGGTGTACAGTACTTTTTTTGAAACAAGAACTATTACCTGTTACCAGTTCAGACCAGAGTAAGTTCTTTGTATTTCTAGAAAAAGAAAAACTATTTAATTGAATATTTAGGTTGCCATTCCTCTTAGATAAGCCTTTACACATTTTCAAAATGTAAGTGCAGTGTTTTAGGCAGTCTCTTCCATTTCAGCTCAGCAATCCTTTCATCTGAATACAGAAAGGTCTCAGTCAGTTCATCACTACCAAAAGAAAACTGATACTTGTATTTTATATTATTATCTTTTACTTTTCAGAAACAGAGGCTATCAGAGTTCCCTTAAATGAATGATTTGTGTCAAAATTGAGGAAAAAATGGGAGTTGTATGTTTAATGTAAAAATGCAAGTTAACAGAAAATGCATTTTGCTGCTTGAAAACTACCCTTTTCCTGTAGTTAGCACTCAGGAAAGTACTGTCACACTGAAGCTATTTGTGTCTGATTGACGTTAAAAGACTGGTTTCCTTTCTGTATCAGTACAGTGTGCTTCTGTCTGACATCATGTCTTTGTAGGTTGCTGATGTCTGTTTTCATACCTGAACGACTTTGAGCTGTAGTTATGATCTGAACTGCTTCTCTTCCTCATGGAAGAACCTTTCTATTTTTTTTTTTTTTTTTTTTAGAGTTTACTTGCTGATAAAGATGAATGATAGTGTGAAGCAGTAGAAATAAACAGTGATGATGTAAATCCCCAACTTTTGCCCTAGGTTGCTTGATCAAATGTGTTTTTTCTCCTTTTTAGTAGGATCTATTGTATTATTTTTTTTACCAATGGAGAAATTACAAGGAACCCCCTGAATACTTAAAATTTCAAGGCACATGCAATGCAAGGGGGATGATCCAAGACAACCAGCATGGCTTTACTAAGGGCAGATTGCTCCTGACCAATCTGGTGGCCTTCTGTGATGGACTGACTGCAGCAGTCAGCAAGGGAAGACTGACTGATGCCATCTCCCTGCAATTCTGTGGGGCTTTCAGTACAGTCCTACATGACATCCTTGTCTCCAAACTGGAGAGGCATGGATTTGGAGGGTGGACTGCTCAGTGGATAAGGAATTGGCTGAATGGAGGCAGACAGAGCTGTGGCCAATGGCAACCAAACTCCAGTTATCTGTGCCATAGAGCTGAGTGGGCAATTAATTTCTCTAACAAGATGGAAAATGAATCGTTTGCTAATAGCTATGATAACATTATTAATGACTTTTGCCTTTAAGGGGTGAGACTATTTTCAGCATGAATTACTAAGTAAAGAAATATGATGCAGATTTCCATTGAGTTCTTAGAGGCTCTGATCTTCTGATCGTGCTTAATATCTGTCATGTTAGAAGGTATGTGAGAAAGCTTTATTGAAAAGATGTTAACTGCAAGTGACAGTGTTGGATGAGTAGCTGTATTTCTCAATATCAGAGTGCCACATGAGACCTCAGTTTTGTATTTGTCAGAGAAGCTTTTATAGCTATTTCCACTGGAGCTGCAGTCAAGGAATACAATATGAAGGCCCTGGAGTCATGAAAACTATTCATAAAAGGCAAGAAAATGGTGTGGCTTTTGCCACAGAATGACCAAGTGGAGCAGTTAAGAGGGCACAGTGTCAGGCTCCAAGGAGCCCGGTGGGGGAGATGCCCTTGGCTCTCACCGTTTATGAAGCATCAGTGCGCAGATGATACATCCCTTACCATTCACAGCCACTGAAAGACCTTGTCCCCCCAAGAACAGAACTTAGGTAAAACTGAATCTCCTGTTTTAGGGCAGCAGAAAGATGAAAGGCATTGGCTCTGCACTGTCCTGTCCAGAGGTGTTAAAGCTGACCTTCCTGAATAAAGCTGCAGTTGTCACTGCTTTGGCCGGTGTTTGGAACGGAACATTTATTACTTCAGCATCAGGAAGTGATTTGCTGTGTTTGGCTGTCAGGCTTATAGTCCTTTGTGATGTAAATGTGGTGCTTGATTGTAAACATATTTATAAGGAGAGTAGGACAGGGTCTGTAATTGCTGCCTTTGAACTGAAGGTTTCTGGGTGCTGTACAGTTGAGATGCCTGATTGAAAGTCTGGCTTGTTTAAGCTTTCTGGACTTACAGCGTCAGATAAGCATGCTGCTCATATTCAGGGTGTTCTTTATTTGACTTGGCATTCAGCTGATGGAATTCATTAATTAAGCAGATTATTCCGCAGCCCCATGGATTTCTAATGGATATGCAAAACAGCCTTGAGGTCACTCTCTGGTTTTGCAAATGATGGATTGTGACATGTAAGTGTGGAATGAATATAAGCAAATGGATTAAATGCTTTGGAGATTTCTTCCCTGTAAAACTTCAGTTAACATTGTTATTATTTTCATTGTTCTGGGTGCGAATTTCCAAAGGGAACCGAATAATATGTGCTTTTTTCCTTGAGAAAATCAATTCAATGATGTTATAAAAATCTTTTCATTGTAGGGTTTACTTATGGGGGAAATAAATTCATCTCCCACTTTTTGCTCCTTATGTAGCTCACATTTATAGTGTCAAAAGTAAAAAAAAAAAAAAACAAACACGCAGTGTTTCTTCATTGAGTTTGTATGTGAGAGAGAGGGAGAAGAAAAGCTTTTTGGAAGATGCTAAAATGATTTCAGAAGACTGCTATAATGATTTTAGAAGACTGCTATAATTTGATAGCAAACTGGGTTAATTAGCATATACTTTAAGGCATTTTGAGAGGTGTTGATGTTAATCACAAGAAGCTCAGTAACAAATACGGAAATTTTATGTTCAATATGCACATGTTTTGAAACTGCCACAAAAATGAGATGGAAAAGTGTGGGAGAGGCAAGTATCATACTGAGAGCTAAATGAGGTGTGGATCTGAGTTGGAGTGAGGTCCAAGTACAATCCAGACCAGAAGTAGGTGAAGAAAGGTCTCCTGACTGCTCTAAAGACTCAGAAGAGCAGTGAAGTAGGGGGAATTGGGAAATCATGAGATGGTTTGGGTGGGAAGAGACCTTACAGATGATCCAGTCCCAAGCCCCTGCCAGGGGAGCACTGTAGAGTTTGTTATAAAAATGTAAAAGCCGTGAGACCTTTCTGAATAAATAATCCCCAACAGTTCTACTGCTGCCTTAGGTTCTCTTTTGTAGACTACACTGATCCATTGTTGGCTTTAGTGGCTCTTTCCATTCATTTGCCTTCTAGAAAGGAAACACTGCAGTCCTTTGATCTGACGCTTTTTTTGTCTACTTGAACCTCACAGAAAAAATACACATTATTTTTGCTTGAAGTTATAAAATTTTTTTTTGCATTTTGAGTCAAGAGAAAAGGGACTTGCTTTTGGTACAGTTTGCAGACAGAGTCTCGTGCTGTATGATTACAGGAAGGTCATGTCTGTGTGCTGTACATTTTTGTATGAGAATGCCTCAAGGAAAAAGCAAATTTTTATTGAGAGATGTCAGCTCAGTTCCTGGCAGAAATGCACATCTAGTTGAAATAGCTGTGCAGTGTGATTTCTTTCCATGTACACTGGGGTGATATTTCAATATTAAAGCTTTTTAAGGCCTTTACAAATAAGATATTTAAATATGTTGAATAAGGATCTAAATGTTGGTCCATTTTAATGCTAGTGCATGAAAACTACAATGTTAAATCTGGCATCTCTTATCCCAGTGTTTGGTTTGTAAATAAGGACAAGATAAGCTGAATTAATTATTATGAGGGAAAAGAAGCATCCTCAGCTTTTTTACAGATAAAATGTATTCTATTTTACAAAAATAAAATCATTAAAAGGCAAATTAACCGACTTGAATTCTGAGAAACAAATGTTCAAAATTGAGAAGTATGGCTATTGCTGGTGGATTTCAGTGAAAAGCCATTCTATGCTCTGACAAAATTTAAAATATTTATTGTACTAATACTATTTCCAAATGTGGTAGCTTGCCATCGTAATGCTGGGAAAATTACAGGAGGGTATCCCTTCAGCCCATTTTTATTTTCTGATTGCTTTTATGGAAATAAAATTTTAAGGATAATTCAGTCTTTTCAACTGTACAACTGAGCAATTTCCTTTGCTTCCTGCTCCAGCAGCCTCAGCCGGGTTGCCTGGATACTCCATCTCCTGCAGCATCTGTAAATTGGCCAATTCAACAGGAGGATTCATAATCTAAATAAAAGAGAAATCTTGAGGTGGGAGGGGGAATGGTTTGTCAGCTGGCAGCTTGAACGCTGCTGTAAATTTTGTTGCTGAGAAAAATATGTGTTTATTTGCCCAGTTGTACAGGGTTAATAGAGGAGAATTTCTGGTATTTTCAGAATTTGGTTCCATAAATGAGGATTACATTCAGGATAAAAGTATTCTGTAGCCAGAGATGTATGTCCCCTTCAGCCAGAATGACTCTTATTTCTATTGTTTGATTTTTTAATTTTTTTTTCTTCTTCCCTGGAATATATTTAACAAGTAGTAAGCTTTGAATTTGTCATATTTCATAATTTGATTCTGCAAGCATGTGCTTATCTTGTGTTCACTTTAAATATAGTGTAAGTCAAAGCTAAGTAAGTTGCATCTATGGATCTATATGAAAATTTGACTTGCCTGCCCTTTTTTTAGAGAAATCTTTTTGCAAAGCACTGACAAATACTTTTGATTCTTCTTTGCTTTCTTCCTTCCCTCAAGTGATTGCTGGCGGTTTTATCAGCACAGATTTGATTCCATTAGAATTTTTTTCAGGTTTCTATAAACAAAGCAGCAAAAGAAGTTGAATGGATAATGCAGTTCCTCAAGTTTTCTTTCACATCTATTTGCAGAACTTGCTAATTAAATAAATGGAGTTCAAGGAAAATTAATGTGGTTGACAATTTATTCACGTGTAGACTTTTGTAAAGTACAAGATTTAGAAAATTGGTAGTTCAGCCTCCTACCTTTGTAATAAGCTTAAAGAGCCATTTGCTAATGGGTTTAATTTAATTTTCTCGACTTCTCCCATTTTGAGGTGGCACTGCTGGGCTGTGACAATAGTGTCATGTCCAAAATGTTCACTTTGAAATTCTCATCTGCAGCTGGAGTGAGCTTCTGATGTACAGTTGTGCAACAGGAAGCCTCCACTGCTTGAGGAAGGAACAAAGCCTGGTTTATGTGTCTCTGCTTTGCAAATATTAATCTTCATTTGCCTTCCTAAAATTATAATATGCAGAAGAAGCTGTGGAGTTAGAATGTTATAAATTGGCTGGGTTTCCTTGCAATTTGAAGGAAAATCGAAATGATTAATCTGACTTTTTATCTCATTAAGCTCTTTGTCTCATTTTGCATTGTTTTGTTACTGGCACTTGTACGATGATTTATTGTAACATTTTCCTTCCAGGAGGTTTTTTTTTTCCCCAGAAGGTAAATTAAATACTGGAAAATATCAACCTTTCTATTGACAGGCACTGATTCTTGTGAGACCTCCTGTATATTGATACTGTGAACACAGCTCTGCAAGAGGTCCTCTCGTGTATGAGAGTTTCTCAGTTGTCTCTTCTACGTAAGCAGGGATGTCTTTGTCCCAGTAAACTTTGATTCCAGACACTCATTCCTACTTTAGTAGTGTTATTGCTCCCTCTGGTGGGTCCTGCAACTCTGCTTTTTTGTTTTTTAGACTTGAGGTTTTTATATCAAAACAGTTTATCATTCTAGCAAACAGAAATATGAGGAATAAACACAAACCCCAGACTTCTGTAAAATATCTCAGGCAAAATTTATCTTATATGTATAATTATAGGGTCAAAAATATTAACCCCATTCAGGTTTAAAGTCCTTTTAAATGACAGCCATCTGGGGCAGAGTTGGGGTCGCCAAACAGTTACTGTTTCAGTTCTGCACAAAAGCAGAGAAGTGACTGTGTGACATTTCCTAACTGTTGACATTTGGTAACCGCTGACATTTAACAAAGAAATCCCTGCTTATGTAATGCATTTCTGCTGTAGAAATGTGAGCACAGATTTGTTTTTTAAAGGCTCAAACCGCTCTGGGTTACACTGTTTGTGGCCTTTTTTTGTATCTGTAGTTTTCTGCACAGCAGTCCCACAGTGGGCTGAGTCCAGAGCGTATCTGAAATTTGCAGATGAGTTTAGGAGATCTGAGCCTTCCTTCATGCACTGGAATTCTGTTTCAGTGGGTTTACTCACGCATTTTGGTGTATATTTCTGTTCCAGCTGTATTCATTACTTGCATGGTGGGGGTATCTTATCTGTTCCAAGTGTCCAGCAGTGTTGGCCTCTTTCTCCCTGTGTTATGGTACAATACCCAAAACAATGGCTTTCAATTTTAATGGGGCCTCTGGGTACTACTTAATGGAGACTACATGTGCTGTTTGATTTGAGGCCTGAAGTAATTAGAAAGAAAGGCTGAGATTGTAATCAGCATTTGTACATTACAAAATTCGAGAATTCCTTCAAGATCGTCTCCTTAAAATACTGGTTGTTCGAACCCCTTTAGATTGGTTGTGGCCTTGACTGTGCTGTTAAAGTGCAATGGTACTTCAGAAACTGGAGAGAGGTTTGGGTTTTTTATAAGGATTTTATATATATATATATATATATATTTATGTATATTTACAACAGTATTAGTGACTGCATTAAAAAAACAAACAAATAAAAAAAATCCAAAAAACTCCGAACCAAACAAACAAAAAACCCCCAAAAAGCCAACAAAACAAAACAGACAAAATCCAGACAAAAAACCCAAAACGTTTCCAAATTGCTTACTGAAAGGTATCATAATCTTAGCATGACAAGACATCTGTTTCCCTCTATCTCTTTGGTAGATAGTGAGTACTTAGATTTCTTTTCCATACTTGCAAAAGTCCTGACTAAGTGCAGATGTTGTCTCAGTGGGAAATAACCCCATACCACAAAATTTCTGAGCTGACATACTTGGAATACTTGACTCTCTAGAGCTGTTTTCCCATATGCTTTGGGGAGTTTTCACGTTTTGGTTTTTACCTCTCTAGGAAACCTTCTCATCCTCAGCTTGAAGCTTTCATTAAACACATGTCCAGAGGGTCTGCAGCCCAAATGGATGGTTCCCTGAGCAGCCTCCCTCGCTACCCCAGCCATTCTCTGTGTGAGATGGGAGAGCTTACACAGACAGGTGAGTTTCCACAGCAGCTCTGTCTTTTGCTCTCTTAAACACAGTCTGCTTGAAAGGAATCTTCTCTTTTCTTTGTGTTGAAATAAATGCTTTTTTTAATGGAAGCTTATCATGTGGATCATAGCTTAGGTTATGCTGGGATATGCAGAAAGTGTTAAACTCTCTACTGTAAAAGTGGCAGCAGTTGTAGAAACCATGGTTTATCCTATAGCTTGACAATTCTGTTACAGACTGGTCAAGCTTGGCATCTCTTAACTTTGTTTGTAGCAGGTCAGAGCACCTTCGATCATGTTGCTTTACACCACAAAATTGCTTTGTTACCCTTGTGACAAATGGCATTGCTCAGTCCCTCCTGAGGAAGAATCTGCTGCTCTGTTACTGACTGGTTTGTGATTCAGAGCAGCCCTGGAACTGAAGAACAATCAGTGGCCTGTTCTTACCTATGCTGTAGCTGCTGTGTCCCTTACAAGGGATTCTGATGTACAGACAAACTTGGTGCTTGTATTATAGAGATCCTTTATCCATCTGGTGCCTGTCCAATCCTTATGTGTTCCCAGGGGAAGAGATACTTGGTCCGTGTCAAGTGTTGCAAAGTGATGTCAGGAGGAATTGAGGCAGGGGTACCATGGACCACTCCCTGACACTTCCTGACACAGCTGGTTGTGTGTGGAATTGCTCACAACACAGGGATTGTTACTGAGCTGCTGTTTGGGGGCTCCCGCTGCCTCTAGCAATGTGTAGAGATGTTATGGTGCATAAAGGGTTCCTGCCTGTGAGAGGCTGATGCAAGAAACACAGATCCTGGAGCAAAGGTCTTTTTTTCAAAACTACGAAGTCTCTAATCATATGTTGTAATTTCTTTAAAAATTCTCTTCCAGGGGTTGTACAACACTTGAGGAACGGACAACAATTACGAGAAATTTATATAAACAAACATAAACTGCTTCCCAGTGACTGGACAGCAAAACAGCTCTACTTGGAGACAACAGGGAAGAGTCGAACCCTGCAGAGTGCACTGGCCCTGCTCTACACCTTTCTGCCAGATTTTGACTGGAAAAAAATTACCATGAGGCATCAGTGGAGCACCATTTTCTGCTCTGGAAGCTGCGACTGCCCCATGAGAAACCACTACCTAGAGGAGGAGCAGCGCAGGCAGTACAGTTTGCGGGTGAAGAACAACGATTTGGAGAAAATATACGTGGATATGGCAAAGATTGTGGGCATTCCCACCAGGCAGCTGAGGGCTTCTAACCCCATAGATTCTCTCCTGTGCTATTTTTGTCACAATGTCACTTTTCCGTGTACCAAAACTGGCTGCATCGGTATGGAACACTTCAAAGTAATCAAGAGACATCAGCTGGAGGATGAGAGAGAAAGACAGGAAAAGAAACTTTATTTCTTGTACGCCCTGTTGGCCACTCATCCTTTCCTCAACCAGACTGTTAATCGGCTGCAACGTATCGCTGAAGGCAAGAAAGAAGAAGTGTTTGTTCTCTACTCTGCACATGACGTCACACTGTCACCTGTTCTCAGTGCCTTGGGCATTACAGAGGCCAGATTTCCTAGGTTTGCTGCCAGGTTGGTTTTTGAGCTGTGGCAGGATGGGAAGAGACCCAAGGAACACTTCATCCGCATCCTGTACAACGGTGCTGACGTTACATTCCAGACCTCCTTCTGCAAGGATCATTACAAACGTTCCAGCAAGCCAATGTGCCCACTAGGAAAATTTGTCAACTTTGTCAAGAGGGATATGTTCTTGATTTTTAACAGCACGAGTTACTATGATGCTTGTCGGAGGAGAGCGCTGTAGGGAGGGAGAGTGGAAAGGAAGGCAACGTTAACTTGTCGCAGTGAAATCTGTTTTCTGGTTGAGGCACAGCTCAGTTTTGTTATTTCTTGTACTTGTGTGTGTAAGTACAGAAGGATATTGCTTGAAACGTTCTTCAGATGGTTTCATTTTCGTTCAGACTGCAGATGGTCTTCAGTAGAAGGACAAATACGGAGTGTGACATACGTGTGTGCTCACAAATGTTGTTAATTGTAATGATAAATCACATGGGCTACTGTAACCTGGACATGGCTTGATAAAGAGTGAGAGAGCATAGACCTTGTGTCTCTGTATTCCAGAGCAATACTTGGATACCATAGGTTTAAAACCAAAAGTTCTTTTTTTTTTTTTTTTTTTCACCACCATCTCACAGTCATTTTAAGCAGTTTGTGTCAGGGTCTTGTATGAATTCCAGGCATCTGCATTAAGGCATTTGTAAGGAATTTTTGAATTTCCTTATTCAGAAGAAGCCTTTTAATGTTATGGGGCACGTCTTTAAAGCCAAGTGCATGTGTGTGTCTGTGCATTCTTACCTGAGCATGTACCAATGAGTGTGTGCCTTGTTGACCTCACAGACCTTTAAACACCTGGCTACTGTTGCCAGTGCCAGAGAAGGATGCACTGGAAAATGGATACAGAACTCTATTCTTTGATTGCACTTTCAGCACTTTGAATAGTTCAAACACAGTCTAGAAATATGTAAAGGTGTTGTGACATTAAAATAGATAGCAAACACTAGCAGTGCCACTGAACCTGAGTGGGACATTAGGATTAGAAATCAGTTTTATGGTGAAGTGTTGGGCTCTTTCCCATTGTGAACGTGTTCAAGCTGTTGTGCTATGGAACAAATCAGTGGTTTAGGAATTTGCTGTGGTGACTGCTTGAGACAGCTTGATTAAATACTGAGAAAATTTTGTAGCTGAGTTAGTATTTTTATGGACTAGGAAGCTCTTATTTTATAAGACCAGACTTGTACATATTGTACTGTGTATATTTATAACACAGTAGGTTTTTCTTACTTGTTTAGTTTGTAAAGACTTGTGAGGTTCACTTTTTAGACATGTTTTCCCCCTCGATTGGGATGTTTAGACTCGAGAATAAACTGTAGTTTATGGGTAATTTGAACAATGAGTAGATATGAAAACTTGTACTTCAGACTGCTTTCATCTCTGTAGGAGTAGTCAATTGAGAACCGATTTTTAATAGAATTCATAGAAATTTTATAATGGTGGAGGGTTTTTACACCTCTAGAAATAAATTAGTCTGTGACTTGTGATTCAATGGTGCTAGTTTATCAAAGAAAACATAACTCAGCATTAAGTTCTCTGACTATTGGCATTCCGCTCTTTTTTCAATGCTGCATTTGAACATATTTCTTTAAATAAAATTCTGGGGACTCTTTGTATACTTGTGTGTCATGTTTATTGTGACTTCTTTGGTGTGTATTGTTAAGCTGTTTGTTGCATTTGTAACTTCTGCACTTGATACGAGCAAGTACATATTTCATAAATACTGAACTAGAAATCCTGATAGAGCATTTGGAGCTTTTGAACCACATTAGATTGGAAACATTTTCTGTCTAAGAGAGTAGCTCTGTCTTCCATCATCCATGTTTGTGTGCTGGAGGGCAAACAGGAGAAGAGAATCTGAAAGTTGAGCTCAGTGTATAAATTGTATAAATAGGTGAACGGGACCGTTTGTCCAATATTAGTAGCAAAGAGCTGTTGAGGTACCAACAAAGGGCAGTTCAAGCTCTTCAGATCTGTTGGAGCTTTGATGCTGTTTGTGACTTATCCTGAAGGGCAGAAAACATTACCATGGGCATATCATTGGTGTTCATTTAGAAACACTGAACCCCCCAGCAGCTTCTGTAAATGCCAGTCTGTAATGCGGTGCTGATGCGCCGGCCACCCCCTGCCCGCTCCCTCCTTTCTCTGTTTCAGGTCTGAGAGATATAAACCAGCTTTAGATTCAAACGCTCCTTGCACACCGGGAATGCCAAATGACTTGGCTTGAGCTGTCGTGCTCTATTTTTGCATTCGGGAGTGGGTGAGAAGGCACCTCCTCGGTGCGAAATATCCGGGTGCAAGGTAGTTCGGGAAGAAAGTTCCCGTGGGAGGGCGGTGGGAGCGGGAGCGCCGGCACAGCCGGGTTTGGAGCGCGCTCTCGTGGCCGCTGCCTGCGGGACAGCATCGGGATGGCGGGAATCACGCCGGGAAAGAGGCCGGGAAAGATGCGCCTTCGCTCCGCAGCTGCAGCGCCCTGGAAAGAGTTACAACCAGGTGAGCTGTAGGTGGATTTCACTGAAAAAGAGGCCACCTCCTCCGTGGTTTCAGCGAGTGGTTGTGGAAGATGCTCAAAACCTTTTGGGGTGAAGAAAATGTAACAACGACAACGGTGGTGGTTATTTTGAAGCAAGTCATTCATAGTGCTCAACACAGTTGTATTCTGCAGGTCACTACAGCTTTGCTGTCCCCTGTACTGAATTCAGTCCTACACTTTTCTGCAGAGCTGTTTTTGAAATCAGTAAAGCCTATACCACACAGAAGTATAAAGCAGAGTGGTTTTTTCCCCTGTCAGTTTTCTGGTTTGGTCTCAGATAGTTTGCTTACCTTATGGTTTCGTTTCTTCCTCTTTTTCACATGGAAGGAGCTGTTCTGCATGTGTGCCCCATGTCCTTATGCAGGTAGTTGAGATGTGACAGACTCTGAACTTTGCAAAGTTCCTTCAAACTGGAATCAAATACCATTAAACATTTGTTTCCAAATGTCCTGGGAGAGTAATTTTCAAAAGCGATTTAGAGTTACACTTTCACTCGTCTTTCAGAATCCCTGACAAAAATCATCGTTAAGATTTTTTTCAGCTGAATGTGAAAAGAAAGGGTGAAAGAAAAGTGATGGCATTTAAAATGTAAAGCAGTCCAGATCTCATTCTAAGAATAGTCATTGTGGTACAGCAAAAAACTCTATTAATCTTCTGTTTGCCAGTTTTTAAGATGCCACTGTAAAATGGTCATTGGAGGATGTGGGGAGGAAAAGTTTAGGAGCGGAAGTGTGTATTTGTGAGGGCTGGTGTGTACCCGGGACTGTGTGAGGTAACTGGGAGATTAAAGGGTCCAGGGCCTGGTAATGGATAGATGGAGTGCTGACTTGCTGCTGGCTGGACCTGGGCAGGCAGTGCTGCAGCAGTCTTGCTCCTCTGGAGCTAGTGGATCAAACAGGACCAAACAATTTTGTCATCAGAAATAGTGTGATCTGAAAAGGGTGTTCTGCAGATTGACATGGTGAGAGGGATGACTGTAGTGATGACAAGACTGTGTCATCTTTTAAAAAAAGTTTGTCTGCCCCAAAAGGGGTGAGTAACAGAGAGGAAATGGAGCCTGTTTTCTGGTGAATCAGTAGTGGCCCACTGGTTGCTAATTTCATTCTCCTTTTTGAATTGGTCACATACTTAATGTTCTCCTTTAAGAATGCCAGTTATAACAGCCCTTTGACCTATTCAGTGCCTTTTTTGTTTAAAAAAACCCCATCAACTAAACATTTATAAGTAGTAGGCTACAGTGCTTTTCTGCTACATTCATACATGCGTAGTTCAGGCTTATCTTGAAGGATGATTAATGGCTTCTGTCATAACTGGCTGTCAAGTGGGCAACAATAACGGCTTCAGTCCTATCTCAAGTGCCAGAGAGGCATCTTTTTGCTTAAACCTCTTCCACAGGGATTTAAATGATGTCCATGACTATGTAATAGGGGCTGGTGTAGGATGACATTTGTCAGCAATTAGTGTGCTCTCAGCTGTGTTGCTAACCCTGTAGATATGAACCCACAGTTAAGTAGGTTTATGGAAAGTTTTACCTGTTAATATTTAACTTCAGTCTGGGATGTGGTAATTGGGGTTCTGGCAAGAAAGAACACTGAAATGCATCAGCTTACTGAAGAGTGATAAAAATACTTCTTTTAATAGGGGACTGGAACAGCCAGTGCTGCTCTGAAGTGGTGGTTATAAGGAGGAAGGCAGCCAACTTAACTCAGGGATAGACAGGGTCTCATTAGCTGTGCGGGCTTGTTGTGTATCTGTGCTGCTTCTGACAGTGTTTCTTCTGACTGGCATAGAATGGGAGGTAATTGTCACAGCAGTATCTGTGTGAAACCACTGGATTTGACTGAATCTCACCCTTTCACAAAGGGCTGACTGCTTGCCATCCTTAATTTTTGTAAAGCACTTCATAGGGATGCAGGCGTTCACTTTGTCTGCTGGGCCAGGAGGAAAACTTGCTGCAAATCCTGCAAGAAGTCCTTGGCAGGAGGGAAAACAGCCTCTGTTGTCCTTGACAGCTCCTTGGCAGGTGGGTTTTCAGGCTGGGGGCCCGATCCTCAGCTGGAATCACTGAAGTTGGAATGTGCCCGGCACATCCCCAAACAATTCTTTTTAATTGCTGTATCCATGGGGGGACTGAACCAGCACTGGCACACTTGGCACAGAGTCATCAGCTTTTGTACAAATGTTTATTTCCCTATAAATATCAGTATAGATTTCATCCGTCTTTGACTGTTGTGAAGGTGTTTAGGTAGTTGTATGGAGGGCTTGGAACCTGTCTGATCAGAGAACATAAACACTCATGGCATGTGAAAGAGATGACAAAGCTACAGAATGTCAAATATTACCACTGGTAACAGCAGGTGCGGGGAGCAGTTTGCATGAAAGCTCAGAACTGAAATATGTCATGACATCCCTTTGAATATTTCTGGATGTGGCACTTAAAATTAAAATGTGAAGTTATATTGTGGTTAATTTGTGGATGGAAAGATGATAGATTAGTATAGATAGATTAGATGGCTCATTGTGCGTACTTTGAACTCTAAATATAGTATGACCAATTTACTTACTGCTCTGGAATAGGTAATGTAGTGTTGTTTAGTTTCTTTTTAAACTGACGTTCTGTTTTATCAGTACAGAATCCAGGTCATGCTTTCTCAGTCTGATGTGCTTTTAAATAATGAATATAGATAGGATGAAACATGTTTCAACCTCATTCTCTTAAGCATTCAATTTATCACTGAAACAGTAACAATTCCTCTTGCCTCTTGAAGATCTTGAGCACATTTAAATGTATTATTTTACTGGTATGAAATGATGTTAAAACACCTGGTGCAATCTTTGAAGATTTCTCTCGTTTATATTTATTAAAGATAACTCTCAGGATAACTTAAAGACTAAGTGCTCTGCAGGTTATACTAATTAAGATAAAACCCAAATGTTTAGCAATAATATTGTCAAGGGAGGAAGGAGGGTCTTTAGCAGAGCACAGATGGGGCTGTGTGTTCTTGAGGACCCTGAGAGCTGAGTGAGAATCAGAGCCAAGTGATGACACTGTCTGGGACTGCATGAGGGACAGTCAAAGGGAGGAAAGGATGGGGTACTAAAGAAGGGGGATGGCCTACAGAATCCATGGAGCAATCCTTCCACTTCCTCAATGCTGGTGAAACACTTGCTTCAACTGCCATATTCACTTTTGAAAAGAGAACATCCAGAACAATCAAAAACCTCAAAAATATGGTGGAACAACCCAGAGTGAGACAGACTCCAGAGAGAAATTGAGAGGGGAGAGGGATTTTATCAAATGCAAATATGATTACTATGAAGAAAAAAAAAAATTGAGACTCTTCTTCCTTACGGTTAGGGCTAGAAGTAATTGTAGGTAAAAATACTGAAGCCAAGTATTTAAGAAAAAAATAGTGGAAGTGAACACAGCATGATGGTGGAATGAACTGGAAGGAGCAGTCTGAAGTCACAGGCCTTCAGTGTTTTTAGGAACAGGAGACAAAAATCTCTCTGGGAGCACTTGTTTTGTTTTATACCAGGAGATGAACAGGTGACTTCCAAGTCTCTTCCAACCTTTATTTTAACTTGATCCTAAGGAAATACATTCCTGATGTCTACCACATTAAATACTTCTGGCACATATTCGTGGTAGCCTCCTGGCAAACAACTCCTGAATTCAGGTATTTGGAAGTTGTACATTTCTCCCAAGTCTCCCAGCCATGTTCAGCTCTCTGATGTCTCCTCATCCCTCAAAATGAAGCCACAGAATTTGGCAGGGCTGGGGTTTCCCTCAGTTCCCACTGGAGTGTGCAAGTGTAGATTTCGTTCCTGGGTTACTGCCAAAAACCTCCTCAGGGAAAAATCTGTATCATCTTAATCCATTACCTTTCATTACTTACTTCCTACCCCATCTTCCCCCTCCCTCCTCATTTTCTCTTTTTCTAAAGAAGCTTAAATGTTTTTCTGTTGAATCAGTGACAGCTCAGGCAACTTCAAAATAGTGGTATGTGTTTGGGGGATTCTTTTCCAGACACAGAATTTAGAAGGGCTCTGATCCACTATTTTTAGAGATTTTATAAATTT